TATGTTTTATTTTTCATCACAGTGGTGAGCTGGCCCAGATCACTGAACCTCCATGTCCCGTCTTTCTACAGGCGCGAAGCTGTCTTTGCAAGTACGCAAGTGCGTTACTACACATCGTTTAAAAAAATATCTAGGTCTGAGAGAGAGAGAGAGAGATTGTTGAGAGAAAAAAATATATTAGCATCATCCGGCAAATATTTTTGTTTCAAATTATTAATTGTCATTATTTCGAATCAAATTTTATATTATTACGTCTATTTGAAATATTTTATTGAATCATTGCCAAATCCAAATAAATCATTAATCTATAGTAAGTGTTCTATAACACATTAATAATTCTATAAGACCTTTGAGAAATTAAGTTTAATTATCGTCAAATGGCTTGATCAAATAGTTTAATGGCGGATTTAGAGGAGGGGGGCAGGGGACCCGCCCCCTCCCTTTGTGTCCAAAATATACATAAGATTTAATAAAGCAACTGATTTTCTTGTGTGTGGCTGTGAGCCCCTACCCTGACCCCAAACTGGTCCCCCCCCCCCCTTTTCAAGATTCCTGGATCCGCCACTGTAGTATATGATTTTAAAATTATTTTTGCTACCAACATTTAAAACACTTGTTGCTGAACATTATTAATACATATTATAACAGAGAGCAGACGATACAAATGTAGCGGTAAAAGATTCTGCATGCCTCAAGTACATTTACAATAAGTTTCCGAGAAAGTTAAACTTCGTGTTAAAAACAATATTACTGTCTTGTCTTTCATAAGGAAAGCCAAATACCATGCTATTCCCTGCAAGAATGTGATTGAAATATTTGTACAAGCCAGGAGCTTCCCCCCCCCCCGCCCCAATCAAGGCTTCGCCTAAGACCTACGGGTGGCCTCACAGATTATATTGCCATTCATTTATTTTTAAGGGAGGACCAATTGATTCCGGAGGGGGGGGGGGCTGGGCTGGCAATTTTTTCCCAGCTTTATTTCCATGTCAGTGAAGGAGAATTAAATTTATTTTCAAAATCTGCCAGACCCCCCCCCCCCCTAAATTTCAGAAGTAAATTGTAAACGCTTTTATGTTTTGACAATATAATTGAATTTTTATTTGGATTTAAGCCCCCCCCCCCCTTTACTTTCAGGTGTGTAACTACGCCTTGTAGCAACCTCTAATGACAAAACGCCGCTTAATGATACAAATCATTAAGCGGCGTTTTATCATTAGAGGTTGCTACAACGCCCCTATGTAAAATACAGTGTATACTATTCAGCCTAAATATTTCAGTGTTTCGTAAATAGCAGTTGAAAAAGTACACAGTTTTAGGCTAAATATATATTTATTTGCAAACAGTTGGGGACTATAGATGTATCAATATATATTACTAAGTTATTTATAAAATACGTACCAGTAGTCTAGAACTTTTAAACAGCTCTTAATATAACTCTCAAGATATCCACCAATCAGAAAAGGGCTTTCCCGGATTGTGACGTTCTAACATCAACTTCCGGCCTCCCTTTTCTAAGTTTTACGGAATCGGTAGCAGTAGACTGAGTTTGAAGCGACATTTAAAGAATTAGAGAGGATTTAATGTGATTTGAGTTGAATTGCCCAAAAGTGGAGGCATACTTAAAGTAAGTACTTGAGGGAAACGGTCGTATCCGTTAATTTTAAACACATTGTAGACTAAAAATCGAGGCGAAGTAACTGAACTGAAAAATTCAAGATGGCGACCGTGACGAACCTTGTTATTATTGTAGTATGGGGGATTTTTTATTTATGGAAAGAAAGGTTAAAAACGTCAAGCGCCTGTGCAAGTTTGGTTAAAATTGGCCCAGTGGTTCTTGAGAAGAGGTTGAAAATGTGAAAAAGTTTACAGACGGAGGAACGGACAATGGGTGATCAGAAAAGCTCACTTGAGCTTTCAGCTCAGGTGAGCTAATAAAGTATTTAACGTAGAGTAAATAAATATTAACTTCATTAATTTTTTTTTTTTTTGTTACTCACCTCAGACGTAGAATAGGATAAAAATTCAGGTACATTTTACATAAAAAATATAATTTATTATTACTTGTTTATTTTTCTTTAAAAAAAACTTCAATATAATGTTTTTAAAATAAATTTTGAATAATTTCTTATAAAATAAGGGAGGTAACTGATTCAATTTTATTCAATTTAAGTTGATTTCAGTTGGCAAACCTGGATTTGATCACACACCATACTGTTTGGTCAACTGCAAAGCATAGACAGTCATAAGGTAAGGCAATGTTTTCTTCTTTTTTTTAAATGTTATTTAATTTCTTTCTTTCTTTTTCTTTTTTTTAAAGAAGTTTTTAGTTTTGTTCGTTTGCTTGTTTTTTTTTGTTTTTTTTATTGTAAAGAAATTTTTAAAAAAATTCGTGACGTACATTTTTTTTTTAAAGTTACGTTCTGCTACAATCTGAATCGCAAAGCTTTGCGCCTTTGTAGAGAAGGTCGTTTCTGTTTTATACTTGAGTTGTACGTATTTCATTCATGAAAACTTAAACACTTGAAACTGTTATAGAATGACTTGAAACTATATTCTTTCTTGCCGTTTTTTCGGGGTATATACCCCATAACTTTGTCTTTCTGTCTGTCTGTCCGTCAATGCAATCGTATTTTGTGGCGAGGTTACTGTTATGGTTAGTTTTAGATTCTATGAATTCTAAAACTTTAATGTAACACTTGTATCTTTTAAATGAAATATGCTTTAAACTAAAGCAATCATATCTGGGCTATAAAGGAGGAAGATTGGAAGTTCATCCTTGACACATAGATTTCATATAACCACAGTTGTGTTATGATTAAAACCCAACTAGCTGATGGTCATCACCAGCACAAGTGGGTGTAAAATTTGTGTCTTGACCATATCTGGAGAAACAATAGAAGCTCATATTTCATTTGGAAATATTGTTTATTGCTGGGATATGTCATGACCTTGACATCTATCATTTAGACACGTTCAAGGTTACTTGATGATAAATGTGTAATTCAAATCAGGACCATCTTTTTGGTTATGGCAAAAATTGGAAGCTAACAGCACCCGAAAGATTGATGACCTTATGTGTAATATCACGTTGGTTAAATATCTGTTAGTAAGTTCAAGATCATTTGCATATAAAGATTGAATTAAAATCGTGTTCCTTACTTTTTAAATTTGGTGCAGATACTTGACAAAATGTTGATGATCTTAAGGAGGTCATGATCTTATTCCAGATTTATATTGGTATAATAAGTTCAATGCCCATATATTGTAGTAGAAAAAAATTCATGTATTAATATTGTTGTTTGCTGTGACCTTTACTGAAGATCAATTGAGGAACTTTAAGGTCACCAGTAGATAGCAGTAAATTTCCTCACAATTTGTATTCCGAACCGTATATAAATGTGTGTGTAACATGGAAATGTATATCTTGAACTTGGCTGATAGATATCAACACAAGTCAATCTTACAGACTTTGCATGTGAGCTCTATATATAACAAATATAGCTTTCAAAAAGAACCTCACCCCAACCAACCAACCAATTAAAATATGACAGAAAATAATGGCGGTCAATGATCAATAAAGTATTACGAGAAAATATTTAATATTTTTACTTTACGTCAGAGCAATGATTTTTTTTTTTTTTTTTTTGGTACCGATATTTTTCTAAGGAGGGGGCTTCTATGGTGACTGACATAAGACATGGTATGAGATTTTTTTTATTTCGGGCCACGAATTAATGATAAATTCACTAAGAAAAGGGAAAAATTGAATTCACATGCAGGTTGCAGTTATTTATATTTTCAATACATTTAGATACACTGGCAGTCATGCTTATAAGACTTGGAAGCACAGTTCCTTTCAGGAATATCCATGAAAATATGCCAGGTAGGTATTACAAATCTAATAGTAAATCTAATAATAAATTCATTTAATATGTCCATACAAGAGTTTTCAGAGAGATACAGATATGCCAGATATGAATCATTTATCACCCCCAAACTGTATATGTAAAAACATCACTTCTCCTCGATAATGTTCAAAATTAAATCACATTTTCTTAAAGTAAATTTATTTATCCATAATTTTTTCTAAACGCTTGGCAGCTTCGAAAAGCACTACACGTACTTTGTTTGGACCCCCCCCCCCCCCCACACACACATACACACACAAAAAACCCACATCTTTGATGGTAAAAAAAAACACTGATGACTGTCCATTTTTTTCCCTTAACTTGCAGTCACACAAAAAAATTACAATCCGATGATCAGATTACAAAACATAATCAAACATAATCTGTTTAACAGACGTAAAGTGTAATAAAACACTGAAACACACATCGTAAAGAATTGTTTGAATCCTCCTTTAGGCTGGGCTGACCTGGGAGAGATGGAACGCTCCATTATAGAACGTCACCCAGAGACAGACAGAATGTGGGTCTTGTCTGAGTATCGAGCACGTCAAGGCAGTAAGTAATAACAATTGTACAAAAGGTGCATGTTTTTCTTTTTTTAATTTAAATCAAGGGATGAAAAACATGATTTTAAGTAACAATTAAATAAGGACAAAGGTAGATATTTTTTTCTGGTTCGTCTTGTTTGTTTGCCTTTTGTCTCTCAATGAAAAATTACTCTCGTTAGGTTAATTTCAAGAAAGGGGAATGTTTTAGCCTTTTTAAGGAGGTAGATTTTATTGTTTAGTGGTTTAGATTTTAATGAAAGCTATCAAAGAGATGATAAAAATTTCTTGCAATTGCTCTCTGGTGGTATAACTCAGGTTGTTGAAGAATTCAGTATCTGATCTCATTGGTTATACAAGCAAGTTTTCGTGATTTTAATGGTGGATTGTTCAGTGTACATAGGTATACATGTAGTCCCTTAGGTTGGACTAAGGTTCTTTGGATTCGCACTTGGAAGTTTTGGGGGAGGAGTTCTATATGATCGATTCTGATTCAGATCAAGAAATTAATGTTACATGTCATCAAACAAATGTTTTGATCTTGCAGGAGAATGTCCTACAGCGTTTAGACTTGCAAGATTTTTGGTTGAAATAGAAGGTAATTTTTTTTGGAACAAACAGAAGTACTTTAGGTATACAAGTAATCTCTCTCTCTCTCTCTCTCTCTCACACACACACACACACACACACCCTCACACACACACACACTAGGCTATAATCTTTAATTGGTATTTCATTACAGGAGAATTACGTAACAGAATCTGCGTCTAAATTGGAAAACCAGGTCGAGGAACTTTCAGGGACACAGAGACAGAGGAATGTATATGCCGTCCTTGACCTGAGATACTGATATGAAAGCCGACCTTGACCCAGAGAGAATGAAATGAACTCAATACCAAAGTGCCATACTCTTTTTTCCAAAACGTCATTCTTTACTTTACAATAAAATAGCAAATTCCATTTGACTGGGATTAATTTTTCTTGTCGTTTTGATATGGCATGAATGATAGATGATATTCAGTTGTAACTCATTTGGATGAATGTTTGCAGCAAACATGGTTAAAAGTAAACAACATATATTTAAATTTCAGTTTTACACAGTCATTTAAACAAGAATTACCTTCAGATATTTTTATCTTTTAAAGAGGATACCCAGTAAAAAAAATGATGTAGGTCACCTGGTTAAACTTTCGACAAACGAGAGAAAAATTACCGAAGCCGAAAAGATTACGAGTAGTATGGGTCCCCAGTTATAGTATGTAAATAAGTATTGAAGAGTTATCTTTCTTCATTACATGATCTTTACCTTTTAACGTAGTGTCCTCTACAAAAATTTAGAATTTTCAATTTAAATTTGTATATGACAATTAAATAGTCATAACACCAAATTTTTCTATTTTAATAAAAATTTGTGGGAAGACAGTAGGTAACATTAAAAAAAAAAGCACAACAACTTGCTCTGTATGTATACAAACATTATCTAATAATTGATCAATGTCTTTATCTGTAGTTGTATCCTTTCATGCCTCAGTCTCTGTGGACTCTCTATAGTGTAAAATCTTTCCTAATTGGGGGCTTTTCATCATTGCTCCCTTTCCAAATCAGATGTAAAATTTCGAGACGTAGCAAAAATTAAAAGACTGTATTTAAACTGTTTAAATGAAAACTTTTTTTAAATACCATATTCCATATTGTTACTTGCAGGGGGGGGGGGGGGCCTCAATTTTTAGAATTATGTTTAAATAAATACGGTAGGACCGTATAGAACGCGCACTTTTTCTGAGTATAGTACTCCCTTTTTTGTTGCAGTAAGGTCGGTTGGACGGTTAATAACTTTTTTGTTTGTTTTCTTTTTGTTTTTTATTTTATTTTATTTTATTTTTATTTTTTTGTTTTTTATTTTTTTTTTTTTTTTTGTTTTTTGCTTGTCAGAGTATTTTGGGAAGTTGCACCCCCTCACTTTTTGGTCAGTTTAGGGTCCCCTCCCCCAACTTTTGAAACCGTTGCGAAGGGCCTGTATGGAAATTGTCATTACCCCAACCTCCACTTTTTTCTTGCAGCCATAAAAGTAATATTCTTTAAAAATTATCTTGTCGGGAAAGTTTTGAAGTTGGAACCTACTCAACGCCCACCCTCATTCCCATGAAATAGGTTTTTCGAGTTTCATCAATTTTCTCCCTTTTTTTGTAGAACTGGCTAGACAAGCCATTTAAATTATTTATCTCTTCTTAACATATGCATAATTATATGGATATGTTAAAGGTGCTTGGACACAGATTTGAAGTTAATATTTTCTCAAATTTTCTGCATGACTTATATGTTGCTATAGTATTTCATACTAAAATATAATAAAAATCTTATTTCATCTCGAAGTTATTGATACTTCAAATTTCTGGACGCGTTTGATTGACACATCCTTGCACTTTCACAAATTTTAATTTTATTCTTAATACTTAAGAAAAGTGGCAATTTTGTTGTGTATTAATGAAAAATATCAAAACTATAATCCAGAAAAATTCAGAGTAGAAATGTTCGAAAGCAAAACCCACTCACAGTATTGTCAGTCCGTGCTCAGTGGTGTGTGCAGACTTTAACAATTGAACACACCCGGTGAATCGTAAACATTAACAATAACACAGCTTGTGCCCTGTTTACAAAAACAGTTTACGTTTCACGGGTGTATTCAATTTGTTAAACTCTGTACACAACACTGAGCACGGGCTGTCGATATTAGTGAGGAGGTTTGTTTTCGCACATTTCTACTCTGAATTTTCTGGATTATAGATGTAATGTTTTTCATTAATACACAAAAAAATAGCTTCTTTTCTTAAATATTAAGGATAAAGATAAAATTTGTGAAAGTGCAAGGATGTGTTAATCAAACGCGTCCAGGAATTCGTAGTTCCAATAATTTCCAGATAAAATAAGTTTTTAATTATATTTTCGTGTGAAATGCTATTGCAATATATAAGTCGTGATATTATACAGAAAATTTGAGAAAATATTAACTTCAAATCTGTGTCTAAGCACCTTTAAGAAGAGAAAGCCACATTACAACATTTCTTTAAATATTTAGTACATGTAAATATATGTAATTAAAATGTTTTTGGTTTTTTTTTTAAAAAAAAAAAAAAAAAAGAAAAACAACAACAACAACAAAAACACTTTATGTATTGTAAAAAATAAAAATTAGTACTTTTGCATCGCCATGTTGTATCTTTTGCAATGCAAGGATTGTAGGAACTCCGCATTCTTTTGCATTAGGGTACACGGTAGTACCATTTCAATCATTAGACAGTATATTACTTACATATACTTTTCAGCTTCAATATATATAAAAACATGTACTGTATTTTTATTTTATATATGCATAATTATGTCTGTGCTTGTTTGTAACTGTATCAACATGGTATATTTGGAGAAAGCGAACGACAATCCATCGTTTGTTTACATCGGACGCCATTTTGCCGCAATGCATGATGGAGCCATTGACTTCGTTTTCGGAGTTCACGCCGTTTTTGGAGTTCGTCTAGACTGATCAATCATGCTTGTTATTTGTGATGCCTGAAACTGTCCTGATTTGGAAATAAAGAATTTATCTCTCTCTGTAAACGTGTCACTTTTTCCAGAGTACCCCCTATTCTCCTTAGAGAAGTGTACAGGCTTTCGCCTACATCCACGAAGTGCATGCATGCGAAAGTCTGTCCGATTCTCTAAAGAGAATAGGGCACCCCCTCCCCCAATTTGAAAAATGATGCTACGTACTCGTTTGGTTCAATAATTCGGAATTAATATTTTTGTTGAGATCTCTCTGTAGTTATTATGCAAAATACATATCCGGTAACACTTTATTGCAATAGCATGATCTACTGACTTTTAGAATTCTTCAATAATCATTGTTCCAATTTCAGCAAAATTTAATGACCACAGCAAATGAGTACATAGTTAATAAGAATGTCTTTTCGTTATGGAAGGAGACTAATTGGCCGAGCCATATTGTCTTCATACCTACATAGAGGATGTGAATTGTCCCATAACCTGAATCTCGGGAATTACCTGCAAAGTACGTACTATGCAGGATCATTTCCTTTTCAAAATAACTCTGGTGATAGTAAACCTCAACAGGAAGTACCAGAAAAGAAATGGAGCCTGGAGTATGCAGGGGGTGTCTTAGAGAAAATTCGGTCAAAGGATAAAACATTTTACTCGGTCTCAATAAAAGACGTTATCCAGAGAATCCAAAGATTGGAGGCGGCACAGCTTTCAGGTGAACAGATTGAATGGCTGATGGAAGAATCTCCTTATTTCCTTCAAGGCAAAAACACAGAGCCCATTGTTAACATGCTACAAGATCATGGACTTGGAGGACGAAGTATTTGTGTTATACTTTTGTCCTACGGAAGAGTCACAGATGAAGATCCATCCGTCTTGTCTGATTTATTGATGTTCCTAAGGAAGATTTATAAAACTGATAGAAAGTTCAACAAAGCCATAACTGCATGCCCAGGAATTTTGTCAGTGACACCAGCTAAAATCACAGCAAAGATAAATGAACTGCAAGAGCTTTTTAAGTCCAATGATGTTCTTGAACTGACTGTCCAGTCACCAGACATTCTTTTTGAAGACTTAGATACAATTCAAGAAAAGTTTGATTATGTATATCACACTATGGGGATATCCCAAAGACAGATGATGTATTCAGATATGTTCAATTATCCACTCCTACACATTCAAACTAGACATGCTTTTCTTGACAGGGCAGGGTTTTATAAGAAAATAAAAAAGCATAAGGGGGAAATCAATACTAACCCCCTCCTTCAGGATATTTTAGGACTGAGTGATAAGTCTTTTGCCAGGAAGTATGGAAATATGTCTGAGTTGGATTACAAAACATTTTCACAGTATTTTGCTTTAGAACTGGAAAATATGGCTAAATAAATGAAATTTTATATATCAGTGATGAGTTGCTATAAATTTTCATAGACTGGCTTGCCTGTCTGATATGCGCAATATACAGTACATTAGAGACAGGCAATACCAGTCTATAATCAAATCCGCAGTTTTGGAAAATTATCTGCCATGGCCCACTGCACACCTCTGGACAGGTAAACACATCCAGTAGAAGAAATACATGCATGAAATACTGCAGACGTATATTTTTCTGCGTGAGATTAATTTACACTATTTTTCTCAGTGTACTTGAAATTTATTTAAGACATGCTATGGCAATCCAAGATATCCGCATTGAACAGAAATTGTGATTCTGCACAATAATGACCCCCTTAGAAAAAAGTATATTTACAGTAATTAATACTTTTAGTCTTGCAACCAAAATTTAATTTCAGTAGCTGGCATTTTTTAAATTTCAAATTGGTGGAATTTCAAAGATTAAAGGAACTTATGCAGAGGAGAAGTTCTTGTCTCCTTATGCAGAGGAGAAGTTCTTGTAACTATGTGTGAAGTAGTTTTTGAAATGTTACTCTCGAGTTTTTGTCCATTTTCAATAAAAATCTTATATGACTTGTTAGAGAAAGTCTCAAATAGGTAACCCTACTCCTAAGCCATTTTTTCATCATCTTTTCCCTAAGTTTTACATTTTCTAAACACAAATTTTCAGGATTCAGTCAGCTTCTACTATTATTTTATACTACAAAAATAAAAAAAAACTTTTTAGAGCATCAGGACCAGAAGTGAATTCTGTATACTTGTTTGTCCAATCTGTTAATATATGTGTAATTTATTATATTGCAGCAAGTACACAAGTACATGTATCTCTTTTTTAAATAAAAAGGGGGGGGGGGGGCATTTCTTATGAAAATAAGCTTGCTGTATACCAAGTGTTTGTTTCAATGGAGCACGCTATTAGCTCACTTAATTTTTTTTTTCAATAAAGCCATAAAAAAATAATGTATAGTATCTCAGGCACTACCGCACCAGGTCAAATACTGCTGCATTGATCAATTTTATTGGATATAATTATAATTCGATTTTCTATTTTTCCAAGTTGAAAATGAAAATTGAGTTATGCCCCTTCTCATGTATGTTATTAGATACACAATATACATTTATTTCTCTTTGAAAAAGTTTTTATGTATTAAATTAAAAAAAAATGTTTGGAATAATATTACTTAAACAGCTGTTAAAGTTGAGTACGTAAACATAATTAATAACAATTAAAAGAGTACAATAAGGTAAGAATCAATTGATCATTTTGTTGACTGAAAAGAAAAAAAAAAGAGCTAACACCTAAGAAAACAAGACCAGCTTGCCGCATTGAATTGTGAAATATTTGGCCTGAGAAACTAAAGATTAATTTTTGTGGAGCTTACAATTTTTCCATCAGAAGGTCTTTGATGACACTGTAGCTCGACACAACAAAGGACGAGATGTTTTCAGACCCTCATCCCAATTTTTGACAAATTGTGGCAGGCTATTGGATTTTTTTTTTTTAAATTTTTCATTGTGTAGATTTTTTTGTTTATCTCATCAATCAATGCTGATTTATTTATTATGCCCAAATAAAAAACATCTTAGAGTTCCATTTTTATGTACACATCCTTTCCTACATGTATATTATTATACCCTTACCAATCTTTCATAACCATACCGTTTAATACATGCAAAACAGCAAACATCAACTTGAAAGTAAATTGGTAAGTTGATTATCAATATCAATCAGGGTCAAGAAATATAACTTTTAAAATTGTGAAAAATAGAAATTAAAAAAATCACGGAAGGGTAAATCAAGGCCAAAGTAAAAATACAGGAGGTCGAGGATGGGAATCAAGCGACTTTTTTTTTTATCATGGCTTTAGTATTAAATTATTATTTTCAATGTTTTCTTAGCTTGTTACAAAGTTTAGCTAAAATCAAATGAAAACTGTAGTTAAGGTAGCATTTAAATAATTTCAGATTATTTCATTTTTAGTTATTATGGCAACACCAATCATTGAAATAAAAAAATATATATACACTGAAATCTGTGAATTCTTAAAATTGGACCAAAACTGCAAGAAGAGAAGCATTAAAAAAAAAGAAAACAAATACTGGTATCAAATACCTTACCAATGCAAAATCTCTTGTATTCAATCAGTAGAGCTAATTTAAAAAATGAAATTCATGAAAATGTAGTTTTCATGAAAATTCATGAAAATGTAGTACAAGAGGAAACATTCGAGATCAATCACCTTCGCAGAGAAATTTGTAGTAATTGATTAACCAATGGTATCTCTCTTTATATCGGTGTCATTTTTTCCTTAATCATGGTTTGACTGTACCCATTTGGTCTGCCTTTCAATCTACATCCAGTACATAACTTAATTTTTCTTTTCTAGTTGCCAATGCTTTTCAAAAACAACCAAAAACATCCAAGTATCAATTCAATTTTTGTATTTCTTTCATGAATTGTACAAAAAATATGATATATTTAAAATGGTACGCCTTAAAATAGGCAGCAATGACCTATTTTATCACAAGTTACAATGAGAAACATATGCTATACATACACAATTTTATACTCTGTATATTGAATATATACAACCTTGTAAAAACATGAATAAAGAGGCATCTAAGACTAATAACAACATTTAGAAATTCATTCAAATACATTTTTTTTTCGATAATGCATGATATGTTTTGCATTAAGACCAACTCTATGCCCAACATATCAATCTAATATAATACATATTTTCAGTGTTTGTAAACACTTTCTATAAGTGCTCTAGAAATGCATATAATTGTCCATATAATAAAAAAAATTCTCAATGTATGTATAAAACTACATAACATTTAGCACATGTACAAACAACCTTTCTCTTGCACTCTTTTCTTGTAATATTTGTCAAAATCTCCACATACGACAAGCTTAGAAAGATAGATATATATATATATACATTTGTAAGTACATATACATAACATGTATATCGAAAAGAGTAACAGTTTTTATGGTAAGTTGGCAGTGGCATTCTTCAGGGAAAAAAAATCGTTGAAGCCTCAGCAATATTGTACAAAGAATAAAGCTAAAAAATAAGATACAGAGAAGTATGGTGAGAAGAAATCGGAGTATCTTATCAATAACGAGCTCAGCTAGTTCAGTAGAGCATCAAAATCAACAGAATACAATTACATTTGTATAATACAATGCTCTCAATATTTTTTTTATGGTGCTAGTCAAGAATTAAAAACATTCATCTGAGAAATCAAAATCTTGGTCTATTCAATACGACGACAGGTTCAATGAACAATTTATCAAATTTAAACATCACAACATTAATTAATACACTAACAATAAGTTGAGACCTTATACTCAAGGAAATCATTTAAAATTTAAATCATTACAGACACAAAGTCCGAAACAATGCCTAGCTTAAGTACAGATCTGAATTTATACCAGAAAAAACAGACAGTAAGGCACAAACAAATTAAAACCTTAACCAACGAATATATGTATTTTTTAAAATTTATAACATTACATCTGATCCAATGAAATCTTTTTTCCCAAAAGCAGTGAATTAAGAGAAATGTATGAGGAAATGTGATAGAGATCATTTATGATTACTTTGTTGTACTGTATCAATTCAATGGAAAAGATCATCCATAATAATGAAGGAAGAGGGCAAAATTATTTAGGACTACAAACTTTCCTCAATAATTTATTTCCAAGTCAGATTTACAGTAACTTATTCCTATAGGGCCTTAGAAACATAAACATCTAATTTTTCAGGATACAGAGACGAACTCAAATTTCAAATGAGCTCAAAAATCTTAAGTAAGCAGTGACATGATTTTACTTCAGCCTGAGACACAAAATTGTTCATACATATACAGATTTTTTGTTACATGTTTTGATAATTTAGTCACACAGTTACATGGAAGACTTCAAAACAGTTCCTCTCAATGATATTTTCTGCAGGAAAGATGCTTCAAGATTTAGATATGCAATTACAATAAAAAAAAATAATAAACCTGAACAATAAATCAATAATAACTTGCATTTAGATTGGATTTTCAGAGGGAAAACTTTATCCTGTATTACCACTTAATGCATGTTCCTAAAAAAAATTCTGGTATAAATATTAACCTTGATTTTGCATATTTTAAACCAAAAAAAAAAAAAAAAAAAAAAAAACCAAACAAACAACAAACAAAAAAACACCACACTGATTGAAATCAGGGGAAACATACAAGGTAATAAGGTAACTTGCATATGACCCAAACTGGATCCCTTTTCTCTAATTCATGGGGAGGGACTGAAGGGAGGAGGCTGTTATGTTGGGAAAATGTACAGAGCTATTTTTAGTTCATTTATCATTCAATAGCAAATCATAATCGCTTCTCAAATTATTTCATAAGAATATTTCAAATCCAAGATTATTACATGATAAAATGAGATAACAATAAAAACAACCATTGATGATAAATTGAAAAATTCTTCCAATATAGACAACTTTATCTTAACAACTTTTAATTAGTAAAATTATTATTGTTCCAAAGAAAAATTATACAGAATTAATTCATTTGGTACTAGCCCATAGAATAACATTTTCTTAATAATCATTCCCTCTCTTGAAATTTTAATCATTGAGGAAAAATTACCCTAATCTTAATTAGAGTAAATATTCTTGAAAATTGCCAATAAAAAAAAATACAAACCACAGCATGTGTCTTTGACAAAAAAAAAAAAAAAATCAAATTCATTAGACTGCATATAATAAAAAAGAAAAAATTTAGAAACTTATATTGAACTTATATTTCAAAAATACTTTAAAACAGTACAAATTTACCAGGTAACATTCTAATACTGTGACAACTCGAATAAACTTTTCAAAATGCTGCTTTTTACTTTTCGATTAAGACCAAGTTATACAACAGTATGGCACATTTTGTTCTTTACACAAATAATAAAGTAAATGCAAAAGTTGATCACAAAAGTACAGTACATATTTAAAGGAATGGACATTTTTTTTTCTAAATTTTATCTCATGTGTCATGCATGGAGAAATTCAGAGGGGGCATGCCAAAACCTGGAGGGTGCCCATGTCCAGGAAAAGGAGGGGCTACGGAGGTATTCATCCCCTGGGACATTCCTCTAGAATCAAAACTGTGGTGATTATGGCCTAGAATGCTATTGATGTTCATGGCATTGTGGATGACGGATGATGGATGAGCTCTGTTGTGGTGGTGATAGATGGATGATCCCTGTTGATGTGGATGATGCAGTGAGTTGGGATCCATACCCTGATGTGGAAGCATGGGATTTGGATGAGGGAATTTAATTGGAGAAATGTTGAGAGCGTCATTCTGTGAAGAGTTGTTCACATCCGAGAAAATATTTGTAAAGGTGAAATTTGACATGTGTGGAGTTACAGTAACACTTCCAGAATGGGGAGTTATTTGGGGGGAATTAGACATGGCACTATGTACACTGTTCATTCCAAAATTATTGAATTGGAATCCTAGTCCATTCTGAGGGCGAGCTGGTGGAAATAACTGATTGAAAGGGCTACTAAGTTCTGAATTTTTTGACATAGAGGCACCCTGGTGTGGTCCAGATCCAAATAAATTAGCTGGGAATGGTGGAGATCGAGCTTGGGGGAGGGGAAACAGAGGGGTCATTCTGTTGGCCTCAAACATTGCAGGATGAGGGGGGATACCACTTTCCATTTCGACATAGTTTTGTTTTTTCTTCTGTGATTGTTTAGACGAAGAGGACCTTGAACTTGAGCTTGATGATTTTGACCTAGATTGTTGAGATTGAGGCTGTGAAAGCTGTTGCTGTGGAGTTGGTCTGTGAGATGTCTGTGGTTGTGCCTGGGGAGGGGTAGGCCCTGACCGGTGTGAAGGTGGTCCATTCATTGTTCTGTTAGTTTGGCTTCCTTGCATTGGTTGAGATGGCTGTTTGTTACTCTTTGCTGTTTGAGATGATGGGGTGTTAGCAGATTTCCGTCCATCCATCACTTGATTGGGTGGAGTGTGACTCAAAGGCTGAGTGCCTGATGAATCTCTCTGTGAAAAAGGTGGTACATTGTTACTTTCATACCTATTTCCACCAAAACTCTGCTGCACTGGATTGTAACTTTGTGAGGATGAAAATACTGGGTTAAAACCCCGCACACCCATACTGCCTCGGTTATCACTGCCCAACATAGGAGGATGGTGCAGAGGAGGTGTTTCCAATGGATTACTAGAAGAATTAGAGAAGTTGGGAGGAGGAAAAAATGGCTGCATGCTACTGTTCATGCTGTAGCCTCCTCCTGAAGTCCTATCCGACCTGGAATCACTGGTAGATTTTGAAGACATGCTTCCTTGCCCAATGTCATTCATTCGCTTATGAGGGTTTGATTTACTCATACCCATGTTCAGTGGTCCCTCATGGGTTGTTACTGTGATATTTGGAAAACTGGGTGGTTCTTCTCTTGGCATTGTAGTTTGTTCTCTTTGTCTTTGATCCTGGACTGAGCAATTTCTTGACATACCATAAGAATACTGTGAATCAGCCATAGCTGGCATATGTTGTGACATTCTGGCATCATGTTCGTGGGAAGATCTACGCTGTGAAGATTGTGAAGATGGCATTTGTGAGTTGGAAGGTGGTAGATTAAGGTCAAAATTTGACAGATTGTTCACTGGAGGTCTTTGAGACTGATTAGATGAAATGTTGCTTGGAGCAGAGTTTGTATGCTGTGGAGAGGCAGATGTGGTTGGTGGCCTTTGGTGGTGAGATGGTGGTCTCTGTGGCGACTGATGTGGAGAATAAAATGGGAAATTGTGGTTCCCTTGATGTGACGAGTTCTGGGATTGGGAAGCAGGTGACTGCATCATAGATGCAGTGGATGTAGTGTGGGTTGATGAATTTGAAGACAATGTGAAAGTAAATGGAGTTGATGAAGATGTTGTATTTGCAACAGTTGATATTATTGGAGACATTGTCAAACTGTCCATGAAAGAATTTGTGGATGTTGTTGGTGTCGATAAATTGAGACCAATGTTATTAAAATTAAAGCCATCTGAACTATTTTCATTTTGACCACGAGACAAACTTGTGGACATTGAAGGACTAATCACATTTGGTGCCGATTTGGATGATTTGTCATTTTTAGCACTGTGAACAAAATTGTCGGCAGAGTATATAGATTTAGGTCTCGCTGCGCTAGTGCTCTCTTCAGTTGACTTCATCATGGAATCTGTGTTACCAGACATCCTTGTTGTCTGTGGCAGCTGAGAGGAGTTGGTATCAATTCCTCTTGAACTGTCCAAATGCTTTGACTGAGAACTAAACAGAGACTCAGCAGAATATGTCAAATCAGGATTGGTAGATATGGAGGATGAAGCAGACGGACGAGCCATGTGATCATTTGGCATGTGTGTCTGCTGCTGATATGCAATAGCTGGGGAAGTCATGGGAGACTTCATGGAAGCTGGCGAGTTGGACTTTGGGGTCTGTAATTGTGGTGATTGTTGCACTTGTTTATGCCTCATGTTGCTCGGCGATAGCATATGAGGAGAAAGTCCAAGTAAATTGTTCACTGTTGATTCAATGTCATTTGTATCTACTGTTAGAGGATTTGTATCAACAGACATCTGATCAACATTTGATCTTGATGCTGTAGGTCTCCTTGTATTCAAATTTCCCTCTGACCTATCTTGCCTGTTAGAATCCATATTTTGTGTTGTTATAGACATCGGTTGTTCCGTGTTCCCTTGAGATTCAAAAGAAATGGATGAAGAATTTTTGTTGTTCGATTGTTCACTAGGAAAATTCACAGAATGCTGCCTTGTATCAGACTTGCTCAAAAATCCATTATCTTTTGAAGAGTACTGTACATCCATTTTCTCTAAACAATTTTCACTGCTTTTCTTAGTCACATCACTGGTTGTATTTTTATCACTATCTGTCCTACTTTCAGAACCTAACCTGTCCAGACTGTTATGTGAATTCAAGAGATCATTATCTGCTTTTTTGGAAACTGAAACATCAGATATTTTCTCCTCCACTTTTTTGTTCTTTTTGTGTTTTCCACGCTTTTTGGGAGTCATAGGAAAATCATCAAATAGGGGAGTGGTAGATGAGCCTGGTTCAGTTGTTATCACTGGCATGGAAAAAAGCGGACTGGAAGAAGAGGTAGGAGTTTTATCACTGCTTGAAGAGGCCGTTTGGTTCTTAGTATTCGGTCCTCCACTTAAATTTCTAGAGGAGTGAAGTGGAAAAAGTGGAGTGGAGAAGTCTGTGTCTTCATCAAAATCATACACTGACATGGAAGGTTTGGCAGCAGTTGAGGCCTGTAGTGAAGGTTCTCCTGCTTCTTTCGATTTCTCTTTGGAGACATTTCTTTTTCTCCTTTTGTTTGCAGGTTCTGAATCCACATTCTCACTTCTGTCCTTCTTTGACTTTGATGATTTCTTACCAACACTGCTTGTAGGACTTCCAAATGAATTTCCCATTTTCTCCACTTGGTTCAATACATCCTCAATATCATTTTCACAGAAGGTGATTTCCTCTGGCATTGACATCAGAGACTCCTGCTCAACCACAGACTCTTTCAATGAATTTTCTTGTTCAGACTTCTTTGATTTCTTGCTAGATTTTTTAGAACTTTGTGTGCTGAGTTTGTCCTCCAGACTTATCAGTGCTGGTGAATCTTTCGAGCTAGAATCACTTATTTCAGCAGTATTATTTCCTAATTTGGATTTTTTGGATTTCTTGGATTTTTTTGCAGTTTCAACAGCAGTGTTTGACACGATATCAAACAAAGTTTCACCTACTTGATTATTTGAATTATTATTTCCAGTTTCTGAAGCTTTTTCTTGTTCATTAGACTCTGCTGCCTTCAAAATATTTGTTAAAATATCATTTTCGTCTGAAGATTGTTCTTTTAAAGAGTCAGAAAAGTCCTTCTTGTTTTTGTTTTTCACATCATCAGTATTAGATTCAATCATTTCAGAATCCAACACCGAAGAATTGTCTGTAGCACCTGCACTGGACACTTTCCCTTTGTTTGCATCTTTTTTTGGTGACTCACTTTCTTTCCCCTCATCCTCACCCTCACACACACTTGTATCAATCTGAAGTGGATTGTCCTCATTTGCCGGATTATAAAAGTTCACAGGAGAAATTTCCGAAAAAATTGACTCAGCAGCTTTTGCCAGAATATCTTGTTCCCCCATTTCACCACTGTCTGTTTTCCCCTGTGCTTCAAGTTGAGTCTCTGTATTTCCTTTATTGGATTTGGACTTTGATTTTGATTTGGAGGAGGACTTTTTGGAAGTGGGTGCACTTGGAGGAGGCAAGACTTCCATGGATTCTTTATCGGAATTCCAAACACCTGCTGCGATGGAAGGATTTGCTTGTGTAGGTAGTGTCACAGTTGGTCCCACTATGGGATTCATTACACTTGTTACAGTGGTAATAGCACTAGAGGTGTTGGCCACTTGAGGTTTAGGGCAGATGGCTCGCTGTCCATTTTTCTTGTTCTTTTTACTTGGAGTGCTGGTGCTAACAGAAGTGGTTGGATTCAGGTTGGGTTGCTGAGGAGGTTGCTGTGTTTGCACAGTTCCTACAAAAACAAAACAAAACTTAAAATTCTCCTCATCAATACTTATGCTACAAATCATAGTAATTTTTTTTCAATAGGCTATTTTCGGCTTGAGATTTATTAATTTCATCTGAAATACAGAAATTGTAGATTAAAAGGACATGTATCATTTAAAGCAAATTGCATTGGATTTTATTTTTATTTAAATATTTTCTTATGCCCTTGTAATCAAATGGCTACACTGGAAACAAAAATCGAGTGCCAAACTACAAAAAAATTGAGGGTGAAATTTTTTCTCCAAATTTTCTCAGCATTGAAAACTTTTCATTTTATTGAAAACATGATAAAAGTTCTAATGCAGCTACCTTGAAACAGATGAGCATAGGCCCGAGAACCATACCATTATTTTAATATCATTAGCCTTACTTTTTTGTTTTTCATTGTAAAAATGAGTTTTTATGCTAATAGGTCCTGCACTCCCATCCTTGAGACAAGCTCAAAATGGAAGCATAAAAAGAAAATTTAAAAATTTGTATTTGTTTTCATATTGTCTAAATTATTATCATAATTATTTTTTTAAAGATCTTTGTTAACGGTAATTGTTTCTTTTTAATCAACAATTCAATTATCAGCTTTATAAACTTGAACATTATGCATTTCATTTCTAAAAACATATAATTAACAGATCATGCCAATAAACAATTCAATTATCAGGCATGATACATATTGTGAATTTTACTTCTGGAAACATCAAATTAACATATTCTTCATAATAACCAATGAACACCCAGGGAGGGATTATTCCATAACTATTTAGCATTTACACATGTCTGGATCACAACTTGATTGTCTTTTGATCATTAACTCTGATCAACCCTGATATACTAAAGACTTTGCACAAGGGGACTAAGAAAAAAAACTAGAAATATGTCCATAGGACATATTTCCCAATAATACACCCAAGGTGTAGTGATATTCATGGCGGGGCATAAAAACTCTATACATGAACTAGAAATAAGTCTATAGGGCATGAATGTCCCATCCACGGAACATTTGTACTGCAATATGAAAAGAGATGTACCTTGTTTATTAAGTTTTAGCTATTTGTCAAAAGTGAGCAAAGCAGGAAAAGTTTTCAAATTTTTTCACATATGGATGTGATACCTTTATTACAGTTGTTGCCAGTTGTAGCATGGTTACGAGGGGAAAGCTGTCAATGGGAGAGCAAATGGGTTTTCTTTTGTGTGAATGGTACTTGTTTTGTTCACATAAATCATACAAACTTTCTATTCTAAAAACTTTATGAAATCTCAACAATATCACTGTAACATGTATGCAATATTTTCAGTGTTTCCGCTAATTTTGAAAACCAAGGGTCATTATAACCCTTTGAAGTTAATTTTTAATTTTTGGGAGTAAGAGAAAATTTTTGAGGGTCAAAATATATTTTGGTTTTGCTTTTAGTTCGTTCTTCAATTAGCTGTGCTTCCTTACATCATAATTTGATGTATAAAAAAATGAATGTTTAATATTACTGTACTTGTTCTTTTATTTACACACTTTACCAGTTCCGCCAATTGGGTTTCTCGGAATACACATCAATCAAGAGACAACATCTGCAAGTTGTTTGAATGTTTTGCAAAACAGTTCATTAATGATTTGAGCTTCATTATGCTTTCTATGAACAACAGCAGCTTTTTGGACAAAGCCAAACTGAAATAAATATGCCGATGTCAGATGCAATATTTTTTATTCGGACTTCGAGTTTTGTTAAGAAACTTTGAACAATGATTTATTCCTAGAAACTTTGAATATAAGTTGATAAACTGGTTCCATCAAGGCAACAACACTGAATTCGATTTTTTAAAATTTGTTTCATATTTTTTCTGCATCATGATGACCCTTTGGGTGATTTTTAGGGGGTAAAAAGTTTTGGGGGTTTTTTTTGGCATAAATTATGCAGAAATTTGCTTTAACTGAAACACTGATTTTATTTGATAAAATATGACCAAGTTCAACAACTGGTATTTTTCTCATAAATCATTAAAATAAAAGCCATGTCATATGCTCAGCTCTGATATATGTATAACTGATCTGCAAAATAAACAATTCTGATCTTTAAAACTGTAGGAAGAGTTATCCCAACAAATAATGTACCCTTTTGGCAGCTGACTGCCCGCCATTTTCACCATTTCAATAATAAGATTTTTCCTACAGAAAACCCAGTTAATAAAGTGATTTCTCTACACTTAGCAAATTTTTTAGGTAAGGTTAAAATGCTATCAGAGAGATTTTACTGTGTGTGGAATTGCTTCACTGAATTCCATGTTCAGTAAGATGAACTAAGACGAATATGAAGAAAGAGTGAATGTTATAAATAAAGTCAAGGTCAGAAAATTACAGCTAAACTACTTTCAATTTATGATATATTTGATGAGAATATGGTGTATACAGGGAATTTTTTCCCCCTGTTCTATTTTCGCCCCCTTCAAACTTGTTGACAGCAAGGAAATTTAGAACAAGGTGAATTCAAACATGACAGCATTATCTCTTAAGCACAACCGTGTCTTTGTCTGAGTGAATTTAAAAAAAATTGTTTGCAATTTTGAGAGGGCAAAAATACCACAGGGTGAAAGTTTCACAATACAAAATAACTTTTTTGTGGTGCGAAATTTACCTAAGACCTGCATGGTTGTTGGATCCACAAGAATACTGGTGGGCTGACCATTGCAGTTCATTGTCAGCAGTATAGGAGCAGTTGACCCTCCCAATTGTCCATGTAACACACTCTGTAACTGTGGATTCAATATCTTCATTGAAGCACTGTTGGGGTCAGAGGTCATCACTTGTGATGTCACAGGCGTAGAACTGTCCATACCAGTTTGAACTAGATTTGCCTGATTCTGAGTCAATATAACTTCCTCTGCAGATGTAGTAGCACTAGAAGAGGTTTTCGGCTTTCGGTTGACCGTGACCCCAGAGGTTGAGGTCACAGTGCTCGTGATGACAGATGTGGACACTAAACTTGTGGTCCCTGACGCTGTGGAACTAGTTGAGGGAGACACCTGCGGAAGGATGGAATTTGTTGTCATTAACAATCCTTGTTGCACAGTAGCTTGCCCTTGAATATTCATATTCTGAGGAGCCACCTGCAAAAACATCTTCATGTTATACTGCCTTCAATAAACAATGAACAATGCTTATGCCCCTAGATTGATTTTCACGTTTACTTTGTTACTCATATATACCTGTATCTGTCCAGTACTTGTAACCAGCATCTGTGAACCATCAGGCTGGACAATGTTTTGTGGAACTGGTAAGCGCTGAGGGATTCCCGTTCCCTGCTAAATGAAATTTTGTTAGGGAATATGAAAATTCACTAATATTACTTTTTCTTCATTATTTATCAAATTTCAAAACCTTTGTTAGTTACCATTATACAGTGTACACAAACTAAATGGAAAACTTTGGAGGTTTGACACATTTTTCTACACAGATATTGAAAAACTGCTAAAAATATCATATGCAACATGAAATATACATATATATGTGATTAGAAATTGAAATATAATGTCTCAAAATGGAGATTTCAATGTGATTTTCTGCTTTAATAGACATTTATCCAAGTCATCCACCATTCTCAAACAATCAAATAACATTATCAGTGGTTGGATTGATTATTTTCTGCAGCACATGAAAAGCAAGTTTGCTCCTAAAATTTGACATATCCTTTCATATCCATATAGTCCTTTCATATCCATGGTTTTAAATGTGCATCATAACACAAAGTATTGTGATAAATCCTTGTGCTGGAATATCATTACAATCTTATCTTTGTCTGCAAATTGATGCAAAAAAAGTGAATAAAAATGAAGGTGAATGCATTACACATTTCAAAATTTTGTGAGGTACTAGTATGTTTTACCTGGATTGCATTGGGCTGACCCCCAGGGGTAATCAGCTGATTTGCTGGAGCCTGTCCAGGTGCAAACAGGTTTGGGTTGGAAACAACTGGTATGATCTGGCCATTTGGTAAGAGCAAGGCCTGTGGAAGTTGGCTTTGAGGATTAGAAAAATTTGGAACAGAATTCACAGTCAGGAGATTTCCTGTCTGGCTTGCAGGCAGAATGAGTCCCTGTGGGTTCTGGGGGTTGCTCAAGCCTTGGATGGGGCCCTGCATGGGTTGCATGATATGCTGATTTAGGGCCAGTTGATTGTTCACTGGCTGTTGGACAATGTTATTCCCTCCCATTGTCACATTTGTTTGTCCTTGTTGAAAAGGTTGTTGCTGTATACCCTGCATTGCTAGATTCATTTGCTGTTGAGCTAAATTGTTTGCTAGAACTGTCTGCTGGTCATCCTTCTGAATCAACAAATTACCACCCACTATTTGCTTCCCCATATTTGGAAGTCCAAGAGATGCCGGATCAATTCCCACGGGGACATTTGCAATGCATGGCACCCCCTGTTCATTGATGAACATGATCTGCTGCATAGCATTAGATGTCCCAGGGTTCACAATTTGATTTCCAGGCATAACATTTGTAGCCATCTGTTGTTGTCCATTCACAAATGGCATATTCATCACATTGTTTGTTCCATTCAAGTTCTGTTGACCAGTAGCCATAATCGGTGCCACAGAATTGACTGACTGAGTGGTTGTCGTGGTAGCACCTGTTTGAATCATTGAAGCATTGGACTGAACCTGACTGGCTGGGATCTGAGAAATGTTTGTCACATTCTGAGTATTAGAGGCTACAGATGCTAATGTGTGAAGGGCAGAGCTGACCGTGCTCTGGTCAGGGGCACTGGACCTCTGCACGGAGGAGGACGTGGACACAGAGTCCTCAGTCTGGGAGGGATTGTTGTTACTACTGGGGGTGATGCCAGCATCCTGCATGGCCAGTTGGAGAAGACCAGCCCCGGCCTCAGCAGCATTTTTATCAGACTGTTGTCCAGTCATAGACTGACCAGGTAAACCTGAAACAAAACATTAAAGGATATAATTTTTTAATTTTATTTCATACACTTCAATGACCTGCAGTTGAGTTACATTTTCCCTGTCATAGTACATGGTGCATTTACCTGTTACTCCAAGGTCTGACAACAAACAAAAAAGGCAAACATAAAAGAACTTATTAACTTCTTACAAGAGAAATTTACATTAATTTTATCAATATGTATATCATATAACACTAAAATTTTTGAACTTCAGACATTAAACATTAAAACATTTCAAAATTGTTACGTAATGTATGTGATGAGTATGTATTATGAAAATAAAAGAAGGAAAATGTCTAACATTAATTCAAAATTTCTAATGACAGTTTATTAGCTGTGCAGGATTCACAAAGAAATTCAAAGTTAATGTCAATCACAAATCAACAGGTAACAAATCACCTTTCTAGTTAATGAAAGAAAAGGATTGGAAAGATGGTGCAACATTCTCAGGAACAAAAGGTGAAAGTAACACAAACATGGTTAGATCAAAACAAAACTGAGGCAATCACATATGCAAGGCTGTTCATTTTTCATTATTAAATACTGATGTATAAAATTTCATCCCAACCAGTCACTTATATCCTTTAGAAAATATTGATAAAAAATACATTTGCAAAAATTTCTAAGACACCCCCTCCCCCTTCTAGAATATATACATTGTAAATGGAATACATTACACAATCTTTCCAAGATATGAGATTAAAGGGAACGCCACATCGACTCTGACCTTGTGTAAAATGGGTCTGAGCCTGCATGCATGGATTACCTCCCATGGGCATCTGACTGCCACCAGCAGGGGGCACACCAAACATCATGGAATTCATAAACATCTGTTGGTTAATCAGTTGCTGCCCAGCACCACCTATCATCATGTTAGGAAAGTTTGTCATGGGATTACCCACAATACCCTGTGCAAGAACATCCTGCATACCCGCAGCACCTGTTGCCAAAGCTGCATTCTGCTGTTGCTGATTCTCTTGCTGTTGCTGCTGGGCTGCAGCTGCCTGTTGCTTTTTCAGCTCTAGCTGTAGGTTGATCGTATTTCTTTTCTTGGTCTTTTTCTTCTCCTGTTCTGCTGCTGCTTCCGAGACAGGGACAGACGTGCCTTGGGGCGGGACCTCTTGGGTGGCAGCATACCCTAAGAAAAAAGACCACTCGGAATAGTAATCCGTTTCGTATTGCACAACATCCATCTGATCATGAAGTATACACAGCATCTAACGTATTACAGGTAAATTTTGGCACTAATGGCGATAAAAACAACGCCTGTGAATATCAAACAAGGACTTCAAAACATGTTTATCAAGCTACTAAGCTGCAGAAATCTGACATTTCAGTTTCCATGTCAATAACAAAGTGATAAAAACAAGTTATTATCTAAACTCAGAATAATTATTTGACATAGGATTCAATTAAATCTTTATTTTTGCTGTGGTTGCAATGCATTATTTTATATTCAGTCATTTATTCCTGGTAGGGGACTAGGTAATGTTGATATTCTCTATCAAGAAAACTTTTTTTTATTTATCCCTGTCATAGTGTTTCTAGTATGTATGTTTTCATTTCTAGGAGTTCAACTTTGTTCAATCTACCTTAGCCATCATCATGATCATGCATAAATAAAATCACTTTGAGTAATTTTTGCATTCATTATATAATGTTAAAATTCTAAGATAAAGGTTTCTTCAGCTTTCATATTTATACAAATGAAAACAATAGACACAATCATTACTTTAACTAAATAATGCCAAACCTGTACAAGCTCATTGCTGATAAGAGAGGATGTCCTGCAGAACATGCCTGAGTCTCTAGTATTTATTTTTTGTTTTATGTTTACTGTCTGTTTATTTTTCTATGTTACTGATGAGAAAAAGGTGTTCTTGCTTTTGACCCATGCACAGAAAGGTTAGTCCATACATGGTCTGGCTAACTACTGTGTCATTATTTTGTTTCTACATTCAGCTCCATTTCTCTGCAGTCAAACAGCAATATTTCCTAATCCTTCAAACATCACAAAGCCATCGCTAAGATTCCTCCATAAGTCTAAAATCTGTTAAACATTATCACCAATGCAAGCTCTGCATGTGGCCATGACTTTAATTATCAATCTCTGGAGGAATTATCACTTAGAGGACAAAAAAAGACTACAATGCAGGGACATTTACTACTGACATTTAGTATTTTTCTCAAAGAGAAGATCCCCTTTTGAATATCTCAATTTCCCCTTGTCTAATAGAAAAATCAAAACAAGGCTCATGGGCCACATCACTCACCTGAGCACTTTAGTTTGAGAAAAGGAGAAACCAATCCCCCCTTGGAGAGGCAGGGGAGGGGCATGATTTTAACAAACTTGAATCTACACTAACTGAGGATGCTTCCAAATTTATTTGACTAATCATGGCTTTCAAAGATTTTTACAGACTTTTTTCAATGGAATACATTCCTATGTAAAAGTTAATTTTCTATTGTGACCCCGCCCTACCCTCTGGTGTGGTCATGATTTGAACAAACTTCAATCTACACTAGATGCTTTTACATGTATATTAGTATCACAAATCATGGCTTTGCTGTTCCTTTTTATTCCTATGTTAAACTTTGATTGCCCACTGTGACATCACCTTAACCCCTAGGGTCATGATTTGAACAAACTTAAATGTACACTACCTGAGGGTGTTTCAATATAAATATGATTAATCATGGCTTTCTTGTTCTTGAGAAGATTTTTTTTTGTATACACTTCTATGTTAAACTTTAATTGTCCATTGTGGCCCCACACTACCTCCGGGGTCATGATTTGATGATGCTCAGGGCTGGACATTAATGTTTGTTCATTTGTCCAGTACCAGTGAAAATTTTTCACAGACAAGTGAATACTTGTCCTATTGGTCATGTGATTTTTTTCTGTGAAGATTTATTTTTGAAAGTTGAAAATGAAAAACAAAACTTGTTATCAACTTTTTATCGAAAGTTCATATCAAAAACATGCAGCGCCTTAACAGTTAACTTTGATCCCGATCATAATAATGAATTTTGATTGCGGTTGTCAAACTCAGTCAAGATTGTTTACTGGAGTTACAATTTTTGATATTGAAATTTCCATTAGTAATTTGTTGCATGGATCTGTTAAAGTTTGGGTTTTCAATATTTTAATTTTGCAATATTTTCAAGTTGTCAAATTTTCAGACAAGTAAAAATTTCGTTTGGACAAGTAAATTACACTGTCACTTGTACGGAAGGAATAATCATGGCTTTGCTATTTTTGAAAAGAAGATTTTTGAAGTTTTTTCTCCTATATACAAATGTATTCCTTTGTAAATTAAACTTTGATTGCATATTGTGGCCCCCTTCATTTGAACAAAATTAAATCCACTTCACCCAAAGATACTATGTGCCAAGATTGGTTGTAATTGGCCCAGTGGTTCTGGAAAATGAGAGTAAATTGTAAAAAGTTTACAACGACAATCATCTGTCAAAGATTAGATCAGAAAAGCTCACTTGAGCCTTCATTCAGGTGAGCTAAAAATTGCATATTTCTAGACACACAAACAAAATTCATGAGTACTTCTTAAAGACTTGTAACTGACAATTTCAATCCCTGGACACCAACTCCAATTTTTATCACGTAGAGAAAAACACACAGAATAACACACTCCTTCTGTTTCAAACACACAGACATTTAAAGGTCTCCTTCTACACAGAGAAGTGTTAATCGAGTCTAATTTTATCTATATTAATCATCATTCATATCTTTATACAATATCTAAAAATACTTGAGTAATTTGTACTGGTCCATTCTTAATTTACCTGCCATTTTAAGGATTTCCTGCAACCTATCTCGTTCTGCCCTCATGTTTTCAAGCTCCATGCTAACTTTCTGCAGCTCATCATCTAATGAATTACAGAGAAATTTATGAGTAAGATTAGATCCTACCAAAAAAGTGTATAATCCATTCATGGTTTCTATTTAGGTGTGTGCTGTAATCTGAAGAATTTCAAGAATTGTATGTATAAAAATGCTGAATTTTACATATTTGATTAATTTATTAAGGAAAAATTCTTTCTATGAAAAGAATTTAGTGTATGTTCATTACAAAACTGACCATGTCCAATTTTCCCTTTCAGTTCTTTTATGTAAGTACATGCTTTTTCCACAATTTCCAGAGTGCTCTGAAAACAAAAATACTGATGTGTATAATAATACGGAGAGCATTTAGTTGCGCATACAGGTCTTAATATCACAATTCACTGCATACAGTCCATGGGGTACAATCTTTTTGACAGCGATACCTTTTAAAGGCCGAGGTTTTCAACCGGTCGGTTTTCCTCAGGTAAGTTTGGTGTGGGGTGGAGCTTAACTGAAACGGCTGTGAAGCCCCGAGGGAACCAAGCTGGCTGTGTATACCTACCTATATACACAGGATGTTACCTGTATATTACCTGTAAATGTTTTCCTAAGACATAGTTTAACTTCGTGTGTTGGTTAATCGAAATGTTGATCGTCAAATGTATGAAATAAAACATGCTAATTTTTTTTATGTAGACTGATTCCTTTAGTTCAATTCTTTTTTAAAAATATGTTTGAATAAAGGAGACAATTTTAGTTTAATCTTGTGCATTAGTAGATTTCAAATCTTTGGTTGTAAGCTGGCGACACTGAGGGAAATAGTCATTCACAAAACGAAAGTAGAAAAAAGCGCAGTCCTGAATAATTAAGTCTCTAAAACTTAGAAATCCTGTTTGAAGGCTAAATTTTGTAGAAAATATATAATAAATTAGATAAATATTTTTTGTATAATTCCTATGTGATTAACCCATGACGCATGCATGTTCCGTATTGTTTCCCCTGACAGGTAGACGAAACGGGAATATAATCACTTTATCCTACTTTTTTCCTCGGGATACATCATTCTAAACATAACTTGTATATGCATGCAATGACAACTTTTATAATAATGCTTAGTTCTCTTTAAAACTGGTTATTTTACCGTAACTTTCATCACCATGTCTCGAAGAAATATGAAACGTCTTACAATTTTTAACTTGGACAATATGACTATCTCATAATTATAAAAAAGGAATTATTATTTTATTAAATTACATGATGCTTCCAATGCAGTTCGGTATTTTCTGTTTTAAGTAAAATCGATGTACGTGTAAATTTGGATAATCTATACTGCATTATAGATTGTATAGTGAAATGAACCCCCCTTTCTTAATTACAATTTAAATAGATATATGACTGATTTTCTTATTCATTTATTTGATTATTTGACAGACTGATTAAATATAAATTATATATGGCTAATTACTTTATCATAAAGTTAAAAAAAATATAATATTAGCTCTGGCTGTTTCTTTATCACGATGTTATAAATTATATGCAGTAGGCATCAAAGACTGAATGTTAATTCAATGATCGGTACGATCCCCAGCCAAGGTATACAAGATATACACAACGGCAGGTAACAAAATGTCAATCAATTTTCGGTATCCAATCTCAGGCTTAATATCATCTGATTGACAGGGGTTCACAGACCAGGTAAAATTGAGGGCGGTGCTTATTTCCTCCCCCTTTAATTACAAACTTACACAAAAGTCAAATCTCACCTTTTATTATAAATCTACTCAAACTCAAATGCCATGTTTTCAACATTTATAGACAGTAGTATACTTATATATGTTTATCATATTTTTTATTATGAAGTCTACCTTTAAATAAGTAAAATTTCAGAAATAATTTTCTGGCTTGCTGTCTGGAGAAGATGTTCAATACTTTTGCCTATACATTGTATAATCTTTGGAGAGAATTTGTACCCCCTATTGCTCCTCTAATCTCTAACCCTGGGGCCAGGAATTTAATAAATCTTAATTCACATAAGAACGCTTATGTATCAAAATAATATAATGCAACTTTAACTTCATTTAAAAATTTTAATGCAACTATTTCTACATAATGTACATACATGTACTAAAATTTCTAATGTAACTATTTCTACATAATGTACACACTAGTAAAACTTTGGAATAAAGGATGTCTCTCTTAAAGCCCATGTGTGTGTGTAAGGGGAGTTTACAGATGTAAACCTGCATGAATTTAGATCTTTGCTTTCCAATTTGAACATTTGCAGCCTTTCTGCCTCGTAGAGTTTTTAGACTTTTCCTGCAATTTCTTACATAACATTTTAAATGACTGTTTTTCTATTTTCACCATTTCATAACTATCTCCCAAAGGTAAGGAGTGTGACAGTGAGTGGTTTCAACAAGTACAAATCCTTTTTTGCTCAAGCAAGCCTGCTTAAATTTGTTTCATGGTTCTAGAGAAGTTGAAAATAGACACACTACCAGTACATCAGATGAAGACCAAGAGAGACAAAAAAATTTGAAAAGAATAACTTAATTAAAACTTTGGCTCTGGTGAGAATAATTCTTTATACATAAACATCACCTTTATAAAACATTCGGTCCAATTCAACCTTCGACTCTGAGAGGATCTAAATGTTTATCTATTTGGAGTAGGATGTATAACTGACAAAATGATGGCGACCATCTATGGACAATTTACGCACAACAAATCAAAAAAAAAAAATCCCTCAGTCAGGAAGTAGTCATTATTTACCCTGCCGTGTCTTTCTTTTTCGGATTTTGTGGTGACAAGTGGAGGCAGCTGCTCCCCAATCTGCTGAATCCAATATCGGATCTGCTCCTTACGTTTTTTCTCAGTAGAGTTGTGGACTGTCTTGTTCCTCTTTGACACAGTGCTACAAAGTGTCGCGAGACATTATGTACATGTGAATATTTTTATTTACAAGAGTTATAGCAATGAAAATGTACTAAAGGTTTTCTTCTAAAAATAATATAACTACAGAGTAAAATTGGGTAATAAAGAATGCGAAAAATTTCAAGGACTCTTTTTAAGACATCATTTTAGTTTAAACTTATTTATAGTAAAATTCAAAAAATAATTTATTAAAAATTAATAAATATGCTGAACAAAAGGCCCATGGGGAACAACGCTCACCTGAGTAACTACAGCACTTCTTGTTCTCATTATCAGACTTTTTTTCCTATATATTCCCATGTAAAACTTTATCACCCTTTGTAGCCCCACCCTATCCCCAGGGTTATTATTTGAACAAACTTGAATCTACACTATCTGATGATGCTTCTTCATAAATTTGATCATGTTTTTGCTGTTCCTGGGAAAAAGATTTTTAAGATTTTTACTATGTATTCCTATGTAAAACTTTGATCTATTGTGGCACCACCCAATCCCTGGGGTCATGATTTGAACAAACTTGAATATATACAACCTGTGGATGCTTCCATATAAAAATGACTGATCTTGGCTTTGCTAATTTTTTCAAAAGAAGATTTTTATAGATTTTCCTATTTATTTCTATGTAAAATTTTGATTGCCCATAGTGGCCTCACCCTACCCAAGGGGTCATGATTTGAACAAACTTGCATCTACACTACCTGTTGATGATTTGACAGAAATATGATTGATCATGGCTCTGTTGTTCTTTATCAGAAGATTTTTTAAAGATTTCACCTATGTATTCCTATGGAGAACTTTGACCTCATTGTAGCTCCACCATAGCCCCAGTCGGTCATGATTTGAACAAATTTCAATCTAAACTATCTGAGGATACTTCTATATTTATATGACTAATCATGGCTTTCCTATTCTTGAGAAGAATATTTTTAAAGATTCTTACTATTTATATCCCAATAAAACTTTGCTCGCCCATAGTTATAATACCCTACCCCCAGGGTAAAAATTTGTACAAATTTGAATCTACTTTATCTGTAGATACTTCTATTCCAGTATGACTGATCATGGCTTTACTAATCTTGAGAAGAAGATTTTAAAGATTTTTCCTATTTATACTCATGTAATCACACATAGTGTCCCCACCAACCCCCGGGGGTCATGATCTAAACAAATCTGAATCTACACAACCTATGGATGTTTCCATATAAATATGACTGGTCAAAGCTTTGCTGTTCTTGAGAAGAAGACTTTTAAAGATTTTTCCTACATGTACATATACCCAAATAAAACTTTGACTGCCCATAGTGTCCCCACCCTACCAAAGGTGGGGGGGGGGGGGGGGGGATGACTTGAACAAATTTGAATTTACACATGTCAGGAAGAAGCTTTCACATAAATTTCATCTTTTCTGGCCCAGTGGTTCTAGAGAAGATTTTTAAATGACCCCACCCAATTTTACTTTTTCTTAATTATCTCCCCTTGGAAGAGGGTGTGGCTCTTCATTTGAACAAACATGAATCCCCCTTACCCAAGGATACTCTGTGCCAAGTTTGGTTGAAATTGGCCCAGTGGTTCTGGAGAAGAAGATGAAATAGTAAAAAGTTTACGAAGACTACGACAATGATAACAACGACAACAACAAAAAACGGACAAATTTTGATCAGAAAAGCTCACTTTAGCCTTCTTCTCAGGTGAGCTAAAAACCAGACTTCTTTGTGGTACATTATTTTTTTTGCACAACATATTTTATCTTTAAATAATACATTAAAAATGGAAAACTTTTTTTTTACAGCTACAATAATATTTAAATATTTATTCACACACTTTATTTGTTAGAGGTTACCAATAAATAAGACACACAACTAGCTATTTAATTATCGGTAAGCCAAAAGTACACATTAACATAATTAACACTGAAGACAAGGATTAAGAAACAGCGCTAACAATAAAATACAGTCAATCCTCATTATCTTAAACTGGACCAGCTCAAGAAAAAAACTTGAAAAAATTGAGGTTAAAATACAGAAAAAAAAAAGTGGTTGAGACTTCCAAATATATCTCATTTCTCAAGATCAGTGGTATTTGATATTAATGATGTTCGAGATACTAGAATTTAACTGCAGATGTACAAACTGGTTTTCTTGGTACAAATCCTCAAAATTACGATTTAATGAATAAGCAATTCTGCTCGTACCTTTCCTCTTCAGTAGATATAAACAGAGGAGCATGGCCATCGTCAATGTCACCGTTCATTGTTTGTCTTGCTTCATGGCCGCTCCCTAGTCCTGCAATACAGTAAACACTCATGAAAATTCCCCCCACAATCTTGAATATAAAGCAACAATAGAGTGAAATATGTCCACAAAAATCAATTTATGCTCTTCAGTCTAAGACTAATAAAATGTTACATGGATTACAATTTAACTAGTTCTGGCAGACTCGTAGCACTCTAGAAATACATTGAAATTTAGTTAGCTATTATGCCTATTGATTACACAAAATAAACTGTATATTCTATAAACTATGTTAACAAAATACTCATGATCATATTCAAATCATATGATCATTCAGATCATATATTCAAGATCCAACACCTGGCTACATTCATTAAAGCATTTAATTTATATATAGATGTAAATATAAGATATGAATTTAGTTTTTTAAAAATTCATGAAGTACATAAATAACAAAGCTTCTTGCTGGCATATTTAACAAGAAGTGCTAATACACTTCATGAAATATGCCGGCGTGAAGCATCATAGTTCATGTCCTTAACATGGATTTTCAAAAATTAAACTCATTTCTTTAATGACAATATAGCACTACTTTACATTATGTAAGAAATTTTCACCCATATATATTTTTAAAAAATTGACTTTTAATTAGCTCGTCATAAGAATAATTCTTTCTGTAATAATCATTTAACATTTGGTTATCATGTTACATAAGAAGGAAATGGCATCACTTGCATTCTACGTGTCTGAATGCTTGTTCAGAGAAATTTGTTGGTAACTAATGAAATGTATCAGTAAATAGTTCATCTATTTCAATAGAAGACAAGTGATAGCCTTATCCACCCCATTAATCATCCAACTAAAGGCACTTGGAAATCTGTGAATATGGGACAATAATAAGATCCACTTCTTCATGTTCTTATAACATGTATATATTATGCTGAAACTAAAGAAAAAAGGGGGAGTGTTAAATGTTACAAATTATTAAAGATGTGAAATAATGAATTTTCTTAAAATTTATAAACCTTTTATGAAATCCTTTACTTATTGGTACTAAGTGGAATAAAAGAGCAGCTGAAATGTAATATTTAGTCTTTATCTATGAATATATGAACATATGCTGTATACATTGTATTACTTTGCTAGTAATGCAAGCAATTGTTAGTTAAGATGTACCATAATAGCTGGAGATCTGGTAAGAGTTTAAAGTTTAATTCAGTAATTTAAAAAAAAACACACACACACACTTTTTCCCTTCCCAAGGTCTTCACTGAACTCAAATATTTTTACAAAAGATATGTTTTGTTACAAAAAAAAAAAACACTTGTAAGGGACAGTGTGTCTACATTCTGTGCTTGTTTACCAAAATATCTTTATATCAACATGTTTTGAAGATAATTTTTCAATAAAAAATTTAAAAAAGTGAAGGCTCACTCATATGGAGGACTTGTGTAGGAGAACACAGAAATGGTCAATATGCCTTTTTCTTATGTGCATGCTATATATATATAATCACAAATGAACGCATTCCAATTAGAAATTATAGCACAATGTATAAATTCTACTGGAAGTATACATTGATGTTTAACATTATAAAAGTCAATTCAAATTCTTACAGAACTCATAAGCATACATTATCCATATTAAGATGAAATATATATCTTTATTACGGATGAAAAGGGAAATAACTCCTTTTTCATAGTTGTGTTTTTAGCAGTATCCAGTATCTACTAGTATTTACTTAAATTCATTGAAATAATCTTGTTTAACTGTATTTCTTTTCATAATAACCATACTGGTCAATTACAATATGGCAGAATTGTCTAAAAGAAATTCTTGTGTAGAGTGTTTTAATTAATGCAAAAACACTAAATGCGATAATCAATTAATACCAAATAGGTAAGCTTAGATGCAAGGAAAGTTTCTGGTATTAAACTTTCATGATGATTGAAAGTATAGACGAAACTTTTAGTGCAGTTTAATTTTGATTTGATACTTAGATGAGAGAGAAGTTTGCCATCTACAATTTCCATTTCCTATATTTTCTCAAAAATCATCAGTTAAATGAAGATTTTAACATTTTTTGGGACATTAAGATAAATCTCAGTGGATGATGAAATTATGATTGAGTTAATAAGCATCAGAAGTAACACATATCAGAAATTAACTATGTCTACACCTTCCACACTGCTAAAAGACACATGAATTTTTAATTTGGGGGAAAAGGGGGGATGTGTGTGTGTCAAATATGACAATTTTTTTTTATTTGGGAGAAAGGGAGGATGTCAGACATAAATAATCATAAATGGGGACTTATTAGTTTTGGAAATGGGGCAATGGACACTTATGAAGGTTATCTTCTTGGTACTGAACCAACTCCAGTAATATCCACACATTTTAATAGAGGTTTCAAATACTACATGCAATAAGAGTGCTTTAAAATCTTCAAATAACATGGATTAAGAGTTAAAGAAAGAAAAGTTGCACAATGTTTTTGCTTTGCCCCTCTTGATTTACAACCTTAAAGTTCTCATGAGACAGTAATACCTTTTACGAACAGCACGGACTTGGAGTCTCATCTATTCCTCAGTTTAAATCACTAAATTGTATAAATCAGAGATCACGAAAAGATTAATAACTTGGAATGCACACATTGTGATTAAACTGAGTATCCATCCTTATCCATTAAGTAATATAAATATCTGCATGTGTTTCTATCACTTTCAATACCAATGATATTCAATTTAGTGTAGGACCAACATATCTTCATTTTCAATTTCAGAATGTGGTGAATCTCAGTAATTTAATGTCATTTAACATTATGTTTACTAATTTCATAAAAATATAATCTTGCCCCTTGCATAAAACTTTATATTCTTTATTTGAACAAGTGACACACATCATATAAGTTTTCTCTTGACAACTTGAATGTATTTCAAGACAGAAAACTACAGGGTATGTGGATATTGTACAAATATACGAATAAAATCTGAACACCTCATATCTACGTGAACATGAATAACGTCGATTTACAGAAAGTCTGTTGATAAATATCTCTCAAGTTACATACCATGTGAAAATTGGAAGGATTGTAAAGAGAGGTCATTTGTTTACAAAAAAACATTGACATTACACACAGCCGAACTCCGTGCTTCAGTTTCACGACAATAAACTTACCAAATTTGTCCGTCATTATAACACTAGGGCATATTGCTTCATGAAAATATATGATTCAAAAAACAATACAGTCAAGACATGGTATCATTTGAACACATTTTGACATAAAGAAGCCATTTCGATTTGGAAGCCGCCATTTTCCATAATGACGTCACGAATCTACATACTGTCTCGTTTTGGAAGGGAATCACTTCTATGGGAATTCCCTTTAGATAGCACTAAATACCAAAATGCTTGCAAAATCAAATGCTGCATTTGTAAAAATAATTATGTTAAAATTGCATATCTAACAGCAGGAGCCTAAGCACAAACTGTTCAGCATCATATAAATCCACATTGAAAAGAATATGAAAAATGCAAGAATAAATTAAACAGAGCGGGGGGGGGGGGGGGTACGTTAACATCTTTCGTAATCTGGTAAATTGATATGAATAGTAAAAGTTACAAAAACACTAAAGGCGATGTTTTTGCTTAATATGTGCATGTTTATCAATAGATGGTCATTTGATAGAGGGGGGTTACATGTAATAACCCGCTTCGATTCTTTCACTGATTAATTCGAATTACAAAGGCTGAAATATTTTGAAAATAAATTTATGAAATGAAATATCAACAAAAGGTCGATTTCTTCACTCATAAAAACTGGAGAAGAATATGAAAAATGCAAGAATAATTTAAACAGAGATTGGGGGGGGGGGTACGTTAACATCTTTCATATTCTGGTAAAATTGATATGAATAATAAAAGTAACAAAAAAAAAAAATAGTTTTTGCTCAATTTGTCAGTGCATGTTTATCAATAGATGGTCATTTGATAAAGGGGGGTGTAATAACCCGCTTCGATTCTTTCACTAATTAATTCGAATTACAAAGGCTGAAATATTTTGAAAATAAATTTATGAAATGAAATATCAACAAAAGGTTGATTTCTTCACTCATAAAAACTGGAGAATTCTTTTCTTTTGGTAAAAGAAAGGACACACACACACACCTTGATTCTTAGTCATTCCACATACCACATCTTCCGATTTTTTTTTTTTAAATGGAAATCTGTAATTCATTGAGAAATATTCATGTATATCAACATTACACATGTATATGTGTGGAAAGCTACAGCATTCAAAACACTTTACACGAACGGGGAGGTCAAAAGGTCAAAGTATAATTTTATTTTGATGTCACAAACGTTGAACGCCGTACAAGAGACATTTAGTTACAATAGATTTGTAACATGTACGTGTAACCTACACGTACACGTTTACTTCCTAGCCGTGAGCTAAAAATTACTTTAGGTACGCGTAGCACCGGAAGTGCTGTAGCAGACGTCGAAACCTCAGGAATGGGAGATTTGAGGTAAACAATAAACAAATTAACTCTGTAAGTCTTGAAATAAGTTATAAAAGAGGAAACTAGAAATTATTTCCGAATATTAGCGTATACTTAAAATTCGAAAATACACAAAACTTAAAAAATGGGGAATTCTAATTTAGGGTCATGAATACCTATAGAAGTTTTCATAATTTCTTTTTTCGCTTACTTTTTTTTTCAGTATTGAAAATCTACTATTCTTGCTGGATGGGGGCTATTAAAGTTTGATGAATTCCTCATCTTAGAGTCCAAAATAGATCATAATAAATCCCCTCAGCTAATGCCAGACGGACCGAGATTGAATTTTTCTGCCTTGAGTGATGAGCATTGTTTCTCTTTATTCCGGTTAGATTTTATACCTGTGTAACTATAATGTCTGACTGTCAATATACGTATAATTTTTTTCATTTATTTATTTCCAGAAGTCCTAATTCATGTTACTGTAAAAAAGTTTTTAAGTTGCATGTAGATTCAGCAAATGTGATGTTCGGCGTATGATAAATATACTTTGAGGTTTCACAGCAAAGTTGTGTGCAAAAATAACAGCATAGCCACTGGACTAGAGGCATTTGGTATTACATTAAGACGATTTTTGCCTACCCAAACAGCAGGCCCGTAGGAAGCAATTTCAGTTTGGGGGGGGGGGGGGGGGGGGGGGCACAGCCATACATTTTTAGTAGAGGGGGCACTATCAACTACCAAAAATTTTTTGACAAGAAAAAAAAAAGGACATCAGACGTTTATATTGAGGGGGCACAGGCATATATCATCTATGTTTTTTAAGTAATCTATATATCGGCAAAATTATTGGGGTGGAACGCCCCCCCCGTGCCCCCCCCCCCCCCCGGTTCCTACGGCCATGAACAGATTAGCCGATTTAGTTCTGGACAGTATTTGGAAGGAGTGAATCTGAACTTTGTCTCATCTTTTGTTCGATATAAATTATGTCTCCTAATTCTATACGTACATGTACTTTATACTCGGTCTGGTCGAGTTTAATTAAAAAAAAATATCTACATCTTTGCTTAATTCAAATTTTTCAGACGCTGGATTTCATCTATGCCTCGCACGGAAACAACTTGGTCCAACTGCTGCCTCATTTCCTAACTCCAACTTCTTTTGTTTCTAGCTCAATTTTTTCTTCATTCAAGTTGTTTTCGCTCTCAGCCTTATGATGGAGGAAGTCGATCATAGTATCAGATTTTCTTCTCTTCACTGAATCTTCACTGAACAAGTATGACTGCCATCGTTCTCATCAGAGGTAGCTGACAAATGGAAAACAATTTGAAATTTAAAAAAAAAATGTTTGTAAACGCGAATATGTAAACATTCAAGTAATATATACGACTATTCGTTCGCCCTTTTCCGTATTAATTGCGCTTTCATCGTTGCCTTTTTCGTTTTTGAATTTGAACCGCTCAGACAATTCAAGCACTTCCTGTAACAACTGCTTCTTCTCGCCATACTCTTCCTCAGTTCCAGATCTTTGAATGAAAAGTAAAGTATAAAGTTGTAAACAAGAGGCCCATGGCCATAACGCTCACCTGAGTCACTTTGACCCTGCTATTCTTCAACAGCTGATTTTCCTCTTTAATTTCATATTGTGGAACAAAATCTAGCCCTAGGAGAGCTATGATTTAATCTAAGTTGAATCCACAAAATATTTGGATGTTTCACTATCACTACAATCAAAATGATTCTGGAGAAGACTTATTTTTCCCAATACACACGCATTACATAAAATTTTGATCTCTGATTTCGGCCCAACCCTAAACCCAAAGCTCATAATTAAAAAGGGGATTCTGCATATTTTTAGTTTGTTTGCTCTTTAGTTTTATTGAGTGTGATACGTCTTGACACACTTGAAAAAAGTTCTTTCAAAATGTATCAATCTCTTGAAAAACTCTGATCCTTTAGAGTAGATCTTTAGATTTTTAAATATTTTCCCCCGGTATATCCCTATGTAACAGTTTGATTGCTTATTGTGGCCCCACCCTGACCCCGCGGATCATGATTTGAACGAAATTTAATCTACACTGCCTGAGGATGTTTCAGTATAAATATGTCCAATCAGGGCTTCACTGTTCTTGAGTAAAAGATTTTTAAAGATTTTCCCCCTATATATACGCATGTAAAAGTTTAATCTCCTATTGTTATCCCCACCCTATCCCAGGGTCATGACTAACCATGGCTTTGCTGTTCTTGGGAAGAGGATTTTAAGATGATTTTTCCTGTACATCTTTCTCTGTAAAACCTTTGTCCCCTGTTTTGGCTTAACACTACTCCCAGTGGTCATGATTTGAACAAACTTGAATCTTTTTTCACTATTTTAAGAAGAAGACGAAATGCGAAAAGTTTACAGGAACGAAGACGCCGACGACAGAAAAC